TATTCCCCGGCTTCTCCCTTCCCCATCATTATCTTCCTCCTTTCGCCTTCGTCAGATCCAATCTCAGCGCCGCCTTCCAATTGCATCTTCTGTCATTTCCTACATCACCTCACTTCCCCTGATTCTATTTTCCCTAATTCACGCCAACTTAACGAATCACGTATCAAGCTTCATCCATTTCCGGATTCGTAAAAAAACTTTATCTGATTCAACTTCGTATCAAGCTTCAATTCGATGTTCTCTATTCATGGTGAGAGCCGGGGGTGGAAGTTTGCTACAGAGGTTCTACAAGGTCAAATTTGTATAATTAAGAATTATAAATTTCTATTCATATACTTTTAAGACATAGGATGTTTTTACTTAGGTTGTATTCTATCCCAGAACATAACAGACCTGACCAGACTTGGATAGTTATAATAATACAAAGAAACCAGACCAGATCAGACCGGACCAGACCAAACCAGCAAATTACAGTTCACGTAAAAACATCCTTATGCCTATATTTATATGCTTTATTTTTTTCGTGTCATTTTTTCAAGAGAAAATTTCTGAAACAGAAGTAATTTAGTTTGAAAATTCTAAAATAGGACTGTTATGTTTTTATTCTCAAAATATGAGTAATTACTGTATGGTACTGACAAAACATGACAATAATTATTCCTGTTTTGCGAATAAAAACATGATAGTTCAATTTTAGAATCAGAGCTGGCCATGAGGGGAGTTTACCCAGGCAGTTGCGTAGGGCCTCCGATTCCATGGGGCCTCAGATATAATACGAAGTAGTAATATTAATCTTATTAGATACTCCTATTATTCTTAATTTAAATACTTCATAGTTTGCACTTTGCAAGTCAGAAATGCATCGAGAGTCAGCAAACGAAAGGACAAATTTAATTGGGACTTGGGAGAATAGCAGACGAGGAATTTATCGTTTTGGCTTACGGTTAATTCACACATTTGAACTGTTGAAGTTAAATTACTTAACTAAAAGAAACTATATGATAAATAGGTATACGAGTAATTCAATAACCACGTAGGAGTATGTATAGTGATGGCAATTGAAAAGGCGTATAATTGAAAATTGTAAAATGTATGAAATTACTCGAAAAGTGAAAACTCAAAAGGGGAATTTGACTTTGCACCCCACTTTTTGGATGATATTAGACTTTGCACCTCATTTTTAAAAAGCTTTGACTTTGCACCCCAACACATACCATTTTGTGAAAAAAAAGTTCTAAATGGGGTGCAAAGTAAAAGGAAATTTAAGTGGAATGGGGTGCAAAATCAAAGTTTTTTCAAAATGGGGTGCAAAGTCCAATATCACCTAAAAAGTAGGGTGCAAAGTCAAATTCCCCCAACTGAAAACAATTGGATCAAGTTTTTAAGGGTTTTTCCCTTCAATATTACCAAACTAAAGCCAATTTTCAAAAAAGGATCATTTTTATAAAAAGACAAAAATTGACTAGAAAGGTCATTTAGAAAAACATGATGTCACTATCATTTTTTTGTCATTGTCAAATTTTGATGTCACTATTATATGTCACTAGATTTTTGTGTCACTTTTGAAATGTCACTATCGATTTTCACGTCACTTTAAGATGTCACAATACCGGAAAACGCGTCACTATGTTGCCGTAAAATTTTCCATCGCCTTTTTCACATCAAATTTTTTACCGGAAACAATCACAATACCGCCTCGACACCGCCACCATCGCCTGAGACCGGCCCTTCACCCCAACCCCCTCCACTGCTCCCCCAGCCCCCTCCTCTACACCCCAACCCACCTCCCCTGCACTCCAGCCCCCTCCCTGTACCCCAGTCCCCTTCCCCTGCTCCCCCACAGCTTCCCAGCCCCATCCCCAGCATATTTGCCCCAGCGCCGCCCAGCCCCGCCATCGCCTTCTCTTCAGCGCCGCTAGCCCTCTCCAACTCACCCTAGCCTCTCTGCGGCTCGCAACCTCCCCTAACAACCACCGCCCTGCCCTGGCCCCAACCCCGTAGCCCTCTGCGTCTCGCCCAAGCCCAATCACCGCCAACAACCACTAGATCTGCGACAATTTCACAACGAAGAAGGAGAAGGTGACTCGCCCTAGCCCCAAATAGGCGGCGGCGGCAGTAGAATTGCAACTATGGTGCAGATGAGAAGCCGGTGGAGGCGAGTCGGATGCATCCGGTGTAGACGAGAAGCAGAGGCAGCATCGCTGGTGGCCGGCGTAGGCGAGGCGGAGGAGCTGTCCCTGATGGAGAGAAGCTCGATTGATGAAAATCGGAGGAGTGACGGAGAGAAGCTCGATGTATGCTAGGAAGATCGGAGAAGCCTGCGCAGGTTTAGGTGTTTAAATTATTTTTGTCTAATATTCATGCCATGCTTTCAGTTTTTAACTAATACGTAGTATGAATGATAATAAAAAAACTACTCCGTAATACGTAGTATGATTGTAGTATTTATATGAAATAATGACAATATATGGTAAAATGGATAAGAACGCAGATTATGTCTTTTTATACATTAATGATATTAATGATTGTACTTGTGATTAATTTTCATTCAACACTATAGTGGCTATATAATTTTTAGTAATATTTTTTCCTTTAAATCACATTTCGATAATATTTAAAGAAAATTTTCAATACTTTTGTACTTTGACTTTTTATTTTCACAAACAGTACAGTGCATTTTGATTACACTTTGTTTATCCTATTTGTGAGTTTATATTTAAGTTATCTCATATTATAACCTTTTTTTTCATTAAAAAAAAATTATACGGAGTATTTCTTAACTACGGTGTTATAGAAATATACGTACGATAGTATTAATTTGATGAGTCAATATTAATTGTTTTTTTGTCTAGGGCCTCCACATTCCGCAAGTCGGCCCTATTTAGAATATACCAACGTTTAGGGTGATTTCCCTTCTTTCAATCTCCAGGTTCTTCATGTTGGAAAAGTGATAATATTTCAAATGAATAATACATTATTAACCAATACTACAAATTGCATATTTTCATAAAATATTATTTAATGTTCATATAGTATTGATGGTACCATGGACTATGACCATGGCCCAATTACGTAAACCAGCCCATAACGGGATCAACCCTTGACGGGATTAGCCTAATTAAAAGGACCAGCCCATAACAGGATCAACCCTTGACGGGATTAGCCTAATTAACAGGATTAACCCATAAATGGGATCAAGCCCTGATCGGGATTAATATTAGATAAGCCGTTGGGCCTAAATGGGAATCAAGCCCATGAAAGGAACCCACATCCAGGTCGGGCTGGACAGCAGACCTCGAGCCTGGGCGGAGTTCTAGTGAGGCTGGGACATTCCTAGGGTTTACGTGGCAGGCTATTATTCGAGAATAGCTATTTGGCAGCAGGCGGAATTCAATAAGGAACGTGGACTTAAAGGAGTTAATCATCAGGCAACGTCCTAGGCGTTACAGGAGACTCATTCGAATAGAATGTCATTAAATAACATTTACTGTATTAGTTTCCTCCTGAAATACTAGCTCCTAGAGTCTATAAATACTTCCTGTATCAGTTTACGCTGTCATATTTTTTGATATCTCTAGTAGATTTAGCTTTCGTAGTTGGATTAAACTCCATCATTTGGTGCTCTCGTTGAGAGAACGATCTACGATTAACGATGATTGGATCACACAGTCACAACCGTGTGGGCAGTAACCAAGGCGGGGATCTCTACAACCAAGTCGTGATTGAGGATGAAGGTTCAAGGTCACGGCGGAGCGATTTCCGGAGGCGCAACGACAATATCGCTAATCAGGGCGATCTGAGAAACCAGCTCCAAGGCGTTGGAAGCTCCCGGCGAACGGCGGTGCGACTGCCACAGTTTCAAACACCTGGGACGGGACACAACATCCCCAACGTTGATCCGACGCAAGCTTTGTCGAGTTTAGCGACATTCCAGAGGGCGGTGGAGACCTTGACCACAGTGTTCCAAGGTATCATATCTCTAGAATCCGCTAAGGCAACTCCGGCCAAGCTCAAGCCCGTCGAGGTCGAGCTCAAGACCAATTATCAGATCACCGATATAAGTCCAAAACTGTACCCGAGGCCGAGGTCGGCCCTTGCCGAGATTGGTGACGTTTCCAGCACTACGACCGAGCTTCAGGCCAACCACCGCACTACAAGCTCAAGATCAATAACCACATCCCCGCTTCATGAGCCGAGGTTCCCCACCTCTTAGCTAGCACATTACACTCGAGCCTGACCTCTACGACCGAGCTCGGGACCTCGGATAGAGATTCTATACTTAGTTATTTCAGCACTTAGATGTCACAAAACATTCACGATTACGTCACTACATGACAACTGTCACAGGACTGACGGCACATCTAATTGAATTACACATGCCAACTGCCAGGCGTACACGTGTGGCTTATCTAGACATTTCAGTAATAATCAATTAGATATTACCTCTCAAGTTAGCTTTAAACGTGTCACTAGATTAGTCGGGTAGTCCATCAAGTCACACAAGTTTAGATGTAAATTGCATACAAACAATTGGAACAACATAGTAAGTATTAACTTGTACTTGTGAATAAATAAATGTCACATTCTTACTTTGGAATATCAATCCTTTGTTGTATGTTAGAAACCCGATGACAATGGATGGTCCGATGGATCGGAAAAGAAGGCATCGAGATTGGTGAAAAAACATGAACACCTGGATATGCGTGTGGATGTTTTTTTACAACGATCACTTTCAAAGCAATATTTCTTAATGGAAAAGATTTTTATATGTCCAAAGTTAGGAAATGTAAGTTTGGGAGGCTATATAAAAGATGCATATTGGAATAAAAATCTTGACTAGAATGCACACAATTGTTGATCGATAATATAAAAAAAGAAAGGGAGGAAAACAAAGAAAGATCCCAAAATAAAATAGAGATGGGATGTTTGAGTGGGAGCATAGAAAATCTCACAATAATATATAGGAGACACATTAATTAATTCAAAAAAAATGTAACTACTCTTATTCCCATTGGTGTGTCCACCATATCTATGAGGAGTTTGTAAACATGTTTATGCAAATTATTTTGTCTTTGAATCGGATAGACGGACAAAAAAAACTCCACACAAACCTGACGAGTACTAGAAGGAAGGAGTGTTGTCATTAATTATATGTACACAAATAGACATACCTATCAAAATGAAAACTAGACAGGAAGAAAGAAAAAGGTGACCCATAGGAACTAAAGCAAAGCAAAGGTGGGCCACTCAGCGTCGTTTACGGGGCGAGGCGGTGACGTGTGGGTTGAGGAGAAATACTGGGGCGAGTCGCTGAAATGGGAGAGCGATTTCCAAGTCGAACCGGACCGCCTCGATGTCGTCTCAGCGTCGGAGCAGTACTCCGCCGGCGGCGGGGCCCCCTTCCAGCTGGTCAGCAACGAGGACGGGCAGCACGCTCCCGAATCCACCACGGCGGGACGAGATCTGAAGGAGCGGCGGGGCTCACTGATCGGCCTGTAGAAAAGCCGCCCGCCCGGCGGAGGCCTGAGCATCTTAGGAGCGTGTAAATCTGGGCGGCGGCGATTGCTCCGATCATCATCATCGGCTCCGTGGAGACCCTTCATCCTGGGCACCCCGGGTTGGATTTCCCACTTAAATGGAATGGATGCTTCTTTCCTATCTGATGCCTCCATTTTCGCTCACAAATTATAACCTATCCATCCAATCCAATTATATTATATGTGGGTGTGTGTGTGTATGCTCCGGTAGTTACGTTCTCACATAAGTCTCCTCTCAACTCTTTTTTTTCAATGTAATCAATTTTTTTTGCTCAAATCTAAATTACGAGAACAAATTTATCCATCTCATCTTCTTCACCCAAATGTAGTTTTCATTATTGCATTTATTTAAGAATCGAGGTAGTTTTCAACATTAATCTTCTTCACCCAAATGTGAGGGTCGTGCTCATTTCACAAGTTTTATGGTTGTATATTATGGTAGATAATAGAAAAAACACTCAATTGAGTAGGTTACTTGTCATGTCATCAGGTCATCCGCTGACGTGACGCACATATGGCAGCCCAATCATCAATACTTTTGCTGATGTGGCACACACGTGGAAGTCCAGTCATCCGTTTGGTTATGACGTGGCACACACATTGACGTGCACTTTGTCGTGGTGTGCACTCAAAATAATAATACAATACAACACTTATACATAGTATAACGAAGTAAGGTTCGATCGATTCTAGTAATAATTAATATATGAAACAAAACTAGTTGATCCTTTAAGTAATGTTCAAAATATTAATATGAAATATGAATATGAATTAATTAATACTCAAGGAAAAATATTGAAGAAGATGAATCCTACTATAACTAATATCAAGATGTTAACTAATTGTCATCTTAGTAACACTCCCCAATATTAACGTAGAGTAAGAAATAACTATTATTATAACTAATGTCAAGATGTTAACTAATTGTCATCTTAGTAACACTCCCCAACATTGATATAGAAATAGTATTTAAAGGAAGAATTAATATTCAAGGAAGAAGATTAAAGAGAATAACTCACAACTTACAAATTCATTAAGTTTCAAAGTAGCAAAACCAAGATGGAAGAGTTTAGCTCCTCATTTGGAGACAAAACATGATAAAAATATAAAGGAAGTACTTAACTAAACTGAGCTTAGAAGTGTATAGGAATTGGTGAATAAATGAGAAGGAAATGGGGTGTATTTATAGGTGTTTGGAGCTGTCAGTGCCATTTACCCGACCGAGTTTTTGAGAAACCCGATCGGGTTTCTTGAGTAAGTGCCTGGAACCTTCATCTGTCACAATATACCCGACCGGGTTTTTGATTTACCCGATCGGGTAAAAGAAAAATCTTTATCAAATCTCTGCCTGCACGTTAAATTGCCTCCAAATCAGATTTGATTTTCGGATCAAGTCAATACCCAACCGGGTAAATGACTATTTTTCCAAATTTTCACTTTATCTTGTTCTCTTTCACTTTCCTTGACCTTTCTAATGATACTCTTGATGACCTTCACCTAGTCAAAGCTCAGAATAAACCTAATCTAAACAAATTACAAACAAAATAGGAAAAATAAAGTATTACACCAAAAGTGTGTAATTTCCCAAACAATAGCAAATAAAACTAGTTAAAATTACAAACATAAATAATAACAATTCTATACTATCACACATGGTCCATGGTAACTAACCTGCAAATGTACTCAATTGGATGTTTTTACAAAGTTCGGGGATTTGATTGATTTTTTTAAAGTACGAGGACCTAATTGACTTTTTCATGAAAGTACGAAGACCAAATTGACAGTTTTCCCTAAGTAATAAGATGTGAAGTAAATAACTCACCCCTACATAAGTTTGTATAACGTTTAAGCCAAAAAAGACTATAATGGAAGGATTATTGCCGGGCTAGGAAATATAACAACAATATTTAGAATAATTTAATTAGGACTAATGATAATGATAATGAAAATTATGATGGTGATGACGATGATGAATTGATGATGATGATGATGATAATTACAACAACAAGCAGAAGTTCGTTTGCGAGGCACGCATCGCTTAATAATTTTTCTTTTCTTTTTTTGTCCACAGAATAAGCATTCGAAAGCTATGCCTTTAATGGCATGAACCTAGCGGTTGCAACAATCACAACCAATGTAGAACCCATCCCGTGAAGTGTCGGTTAAGCAGAACTTTCAGGACACCCACACCACATGCACTTGTCGACAAAAACAAGCATTATAGCATAGTGGACATACATTTCTAGTAGATATGCGGGCAAGAAAAACCTTATCCAATTCAGTTTTCAAACATGAAAGAGCTATCCGTTGCTGCGAAAGAGACCAGGCAATATCGACAAGAGCTTTGTCCTACTTCTTTTCAAAGCGGCATTTTGTTGACATTGTCTTCATTTTCAGCAACCGTGCAACCACATAGAAGCATAGTCATTAGTCGTGCACGTGCAACAATTACATGAAGCATTCAAAACAACAAACATGGCAGGATGCAAAAAGAAAAGATACTGATGGTACCATGGATTCGGACCATGGCCCAATTACGCAATTCAGCCCATAACGGGATCAGCCCATAACAGGATCAGCCTAATTAACAGGATTAGCCCATAACGGGATCAACCCATAACGGGATTAGCCTAATTAACAGGATTAACCCATAAACGGGATCAAGCCCATCAACGGGATTAATGTCGAATATGCCGCCAGGCCCAAACAGGATCAGGCCCACGATAGGAACCCACAGCCAGGCCGGGCTGCACAGCAGACCTCGAGCCTGGGCGGAGTTCTAGTGAGGCCGGGATATTCCTCGGGTTACGTGGCAAGCAGTTATTCGGCACAATTATTTGGCAACAGGCAGGATTCGTCCGGAGTTTGAAAACAAGAAGGAGACAATTAATGCTTGATATCCAAGGCATGAGAGGAGTTCTATTTCGAGCAAGAATATAGTTCATTTTTTTGGCAAAATTAAAATTTTATTCATGAAAGAGAAAAAAAATTACAGAGAATAAAAGGGAAATAAAAAACAAAACAAAAGGAAAAGAGAGTAAACCCAACCCAAAATACAACAAGTCCCTCCCTAAAGTCTATAAATAATGACTCCTAAAGTCTATAAATACTTCTTGTAAACACCCTACCAGGGGATGGCCAATTGATCCTTTATAATAAAGAGAATACTGCCTTACGCTGCCATATTCTTTCATACTTTTCATACGTTTCTCATACCATTTTGGTAGATTTAGCTCTCGTAGTTGGATTAAACTCCATCAGATGCCATTTCTTCAACAGCAAAGCACGTTGGCCATTTGGGTTGAGTTCAATGTGGCCATCGAATTGGGTTGACAATGATAAGCCTAAAACAAACTGATGGTACCAAGGATTACAACCATGGCCCAAAGACTGAATTTAAGTAAAGCCCATCAACGGGATCAACCCATACCATAAGATCAACCCATTAATCGGGATTAATAATAAATAATTGATGGGCCTAATTAGGAATACGACCCTCGAAAGGAACCCACAACCAGGCCAGACTGGACAACAAACCTCAAGCCTAGGCGGAGTTCTAGCGAGGTCGGACTCTTCCTAGGGCTTATGCAACAGGCTATCATTCGCGAATAGGCCTGTCAATGGGTCGGGTCTAGACCCGGACCCGACCCGGACCCGGTTGTTTTTAACGGGTATGGGTCCTTATTTTATTCCGTTTACCCGGATCCAAACCCGGACCCGTTAGTACTTTTAATAAATGGGTCGGGTATGGTACTTATGATTCCGACCCGTTAAGGACCCGGACCCGTTTAAAATTTCTTATTAGTATTTATACACACACTAATACATAAAGAGATTAGTTATAATACTTCAAATAAAAATACAAACTAATATATATAAAGTGATTAGTTTTAATTCTTTGATTAAAAAGAAACAAATTAATACATACCTAATGTATAAGTGATAATATAATAGTACGTAGTATATAATATGCTTTTAGTCCAAAAGAACTTTTTGTGACCTAATTTCTAGTCTAATATATGAGCTTTCTTTGGGAGAGAAAGAGACACAAAGTGCGGAATTGTACGCATCTACAAGAACCGATATTTTATTGAATAAAAGTACTAATTTTCTATGATAAACCTTGATTTTTTTTTTAAAAGTGAAGATATATTTTGCTTTTAAATTTGTGCACTTTGATTTACATTTCATATACATGTTTTACTATTTTTAAAAAATTATCTAATGTTCTGTCAAAAAAAAGTTATATAATGTTGTGCATATGATACTTGGCGGGTCTACCCGACCCGGTTCCGAGACCCGTTGGGTCCGGGTCCGGGTCCAAATTTTTAGACCCGCCGGGTAAACGGGTCGGGTCCGGGTCCTTTATTTACTTAGTGGGTCCGGGTCTGGAACACTACGTTCCGACCCGGACCCGACCCATTGACAGGTCTATTCGCGAATAGCTATCTGGCGGCGACAGGAAATAACGGAAGAAACGTGGACCTGAGGTAAACAATCATTGTACAATGTTCGAGACATTACATGACTATATTTCAATTAATAACATTTAATGTATCAGTTTCCTCCTAGATTACTAGAACCTAAGGTCTATAAATAAATACTTCTTATACATATCCTACTGAGGATCCGAACTCCGGAATAATAATACTGCCTTACGCTGCCTAAATTTCATCTGCTCTCGTAAATTAAACTCTCATAGTTGGATTAAACTCCATCATTTGGTGCTCTCGTTAAGAGCCAATTTATGACGATGATGGTTGGATCACACAGTCACAACCGTGTTGGCAGCAATCAAGGTGATGCTCGATTGGATCAGGTCGTGATAGAGGATGAATGGTCTTGTTCGTGGCGGAGTGATTTCTGGAGGAGAAGCGACAATGTGGCTACTCAAGGCGACTTGAGAAACCAACTACAAGGTACAAGGAGTTCCAGGCGTCCAGCAACGCGTCCACCGCAATGCCAGCCACCGGCCATCGGAAATCTCATTCCCAACGTGGATCCGACGCAAGCCTTAGCGAGTTTAGCAACATTCCAGAGGGCTGTGGAGACATTATTGACCCGAACACCAACGAAAGACCTCCTTCCCCGCACCGGGTTCCATCTGTTCCCAACAAGAGGAGGAGGTGTCCGCACAACGTTAGAGGAATTCACCACCAGCGAGGTCTCGGCGGTCTCATCATTCCAGACAGACCTCGAGGGCTTCAGTGATGGACCGAATTGGAGGGCGAAAGGTCTCTGTACATGATAGGCTCTCCTCAAGGGTGTGACGAATTGACAAGGCATCCTCCGCGGCTGTCTCTTCCCACCGTCACAGCGCAAGTGGGGAAGATCTCAGACCGAGATCAACACATATCGGCGAGCTCGAGGAG